AAGTTGGCAAATCGCGACCTCCAGTATCCTAAAACGTCGCAGTTCTATAGAACTCATTGGGTTGCATCTAGTGCCACGTGCCGGTCGCTGTCCTGGGAGATACCAAGCGTTACGTTTCTCAGCACGGCTCCTGTGATCTCCTGTGATCCTTCCAACACTCCGATCAAACCTCTAGGCTTGTAGGACTCAAAAACGCCTGAGAGGTGTGTGTGCCCACACCGCGGTCCAAATCCGTGAGGTTCGGACTCCGAACTTTGGACAGAACAGTTCGGAGTACTTGCGCAAAATATGACCGGCCCTGGTCTTGACCCCACATCTCTTGCCCTGTGGCTCTTGGGCCGTGTGGCCTCTCCTGATTGGCTCGCTGCCGCTGCAGTCTTCCCGCAAAGTGTCCCTCCATGTTGCCCCCAGCATTCTGAGACACGTTGCAGCTGTAGAGCTCATGCCGAGCTCAACAGCTTGCATCGACGATGGCTGGCTGTCGGAATTGACGCGCAGGTGTGGGGGCCGAGAGGCATCTGTGGAAGAGGCAGCTTGTGGCGCAAAGTAATCAGAAATCAGAAAAGGAGTGAAAACGCTAGTAAATGCCTTTCTGCCCCTGTGACCCCCTGTCCATTCTCATGCGAAGAGGTTAAGGAACCACTCATGACGAACACATTGTCTGGCATTGGCAAGCGTTCGATCAGTCCTCCAAAGCATCAGTCCATATATTGTATGTGTGGATCCATGGCACATGCTGCTCCTCAATGCCAGCTCAGCAGTAACATTTCACAGCCAAAGTGTGCCATAGAATTTCCACAGTTCCAATCATGGAAGCCGCAGCATTGGTGTTTGGTCCAGGATTTTGTCTGGTTTTCCCACTGCCAAACAGGCCGCCCAGATTCCACCAGCTTTGACCCTTGGGACCAAGCGGTTGACAACCGTGCGGTTTACAACCGTGGACGGGGCGACGAAAAAGAGATACAACATCGGTGGAATTCTTTGCAGGGCCATTGAATGGGTGCTGATAGCAGCTAAGCCAACTGTCGGAGATTCTCCAGATCGATGATCCAAAGAGTTGGATCGTCAAAAGTGGTCACACACACGTCACAGACACACACACACACACACACTGGGAAGAGCGGCGTGTTCTACTGCACGCAATTCTGCATGAGAAAGGCTCCCGATTGATTAGTCGTAGAATGCCACTCAGCCAATCAGGATTGTCAGGATTGTTTCATGTCCTATCTTGTCTATGAGGTCTATATGAGGTTCTATTATAATGATTTATACATATTTATACCCTGGGCATTCGTTCCATCATGTCGCTCACACCTGGGCAAAGGCATCCACCAAAGACCTCGCCTAGGGCACGATGCAGCACCACATCGCGCACCGGAGTAGGCTTTGTCCCGGGACCTGCTCCAGCTTTGAAGCGACGGTCTGGCTCAGTCTGCCTCCAAAGACTTCTAAATTCTCAGAACTAGTCCGATCTGGTCCCATCATCTCCCATCTACTTTCCTTGCAACTTGGGTGAATTGGTGGGGTCTGGAACTGGGTTTTGTTTTGCCCCACCAGTTCGCAGAAGTGCTGCTAGCGCACCAAAGAAGTGCTGCCAAGTGGCACAGCCGAGACAGTCCCAAAACAAAGTTCTCTGCAATCAGCTCACTCTCTGCCTCAAAATCAGCAGGACTAGCAACCAAGCACTAGCCACCTCTGTTGGAAGGATGTTTCACATTTCACAAGAGAAATACCGTCACACACAAAAAATACGCACCCGACCGTCCTTGACCCAAGGTGTGATCCGATTGGAACCAAAAACCCCCTTGATATGCTCTGCCTTGTTGCTGAAGGTTTTTTGAGGATAAATATATATATATATATGCAAGCTAGATCAAGCTACCATGATGAAGAGTCTAAACCAACTTGCATCCAGGTATAGACGTCCAAAATTCTTAGTGGCCAAGCCAGCGCAGGAATGACGTCTTGTTGAAATGTGATTTGGACCCTTGTCTCTTCAACAGCATCTTTTTTGGGGAAACTGCAGAGCCAACATATGCCTTTATAGCCCTGGCAACCAGGCCTTGAAATGAAATGACCGCTGTGCTGTCCACACGGAAAAGCAGCACCAGGGTTTAGTCACCTGGCAAAAACGGCAATACTTGAATTCATCATCTTTCGAAATTCCTTGTGCTACATACAGTATATTGACTATTGGCTATTTTTTAATCATGGTTTGATGTTGCTTGAACTAATGCTCAATCCCATTCCATATACACTCTAATTACATACGTAATATGTCTTTCGTGCTGCGGAAGAGAAACCACTCTGCAACGTCATCAGAAACCACGCCTGTGCTTTGTGGCGTGCCGGCAAGGCTTCAGCACCGAAGCCCACATGCACGATCTAGAAGAAAGCATCAAGGCACACCAAAAACACACAGAATATAGCTTTGAGTCTTCAGCATGATTCAAGGATATATATATATATCTTGGACTCTGAAACCTTAGGTTGTCTATAAATATATGAGCCACAGTCAAGATCTATTACTATAAATCAAAGGTCACCCGGGGTTTGTGAGTAACCTGCATGTTGATCAGATTGTGTAGTTGTTTTTTTTGGCTGAGTGTAGAATCAATCATTCTTTGGCTAAATCCTTTGTTTTGAGATCCCATGTATTCTGAGGTTCATCTCTCCACTCATTGTGTAGTCTTCCGCATAAAAAACAAATATACTATAGCAGCCTGACTGCCAGCTCGAATGAACCAAAAGTCAACCTGCTTACAAAGATCAGCTTGCATCATGCTGCATTTATACGTCTGTGACAGGACCAAACATTGGAACGGACGATAATGAAATATAATGAACTTTGGCTTGGACTCCAACATTGTGTCCATCCTCTCATTTCCCAGTCATTTCATCACCCACTGGCAGGGCCTCTTGGAGGCCCACAGAGCTTGGGCGTCGTAACTTTCGCCTGCCTGGCGACGATCCTCTCATTTCGCGTTGTTGCGATTGGGATGTGGAAAAAACAGCAAAAGAGTCTTCTGCGGTCTGAATGTTCAATCAAGTAGAGTCAAGTATTGTCAAGTACAAGACATGAAGACCTATCAGCACCCATGACACCTGAATCAAAGAGAAACCCGGCTAAAGCACTTCTTAGCTTAACATAGCTTACCACTTTTTAAAGCTGTTCTTTGTGTCACGCTGTCCAAACCGGGCACCAGAATCGACCTGGGAGGTCACCGTCCGGTCACTGCCACGACTGAAATCGGGTCGAGTTGGCCCGCATCTTTGGACCATTTGAGACTCTCCGGTGCTGCGGGCGGTCCCTGAGTCCGACGGTCTTTCGTCTGTCTGTCTTTCGCGACGTGGTAACGGCACGAAACGGCGTTGAAACGACGCAACGGGAAGCCATGAGAAACGAATGAAACTCACCACAAGCATCGTGAAGAATTGAGACACATCCGTTTCAAACAAATCCTACATGCTGTCATGCAGGTAGTGCGGCGGCTGCAAATTCACCGTCTTGTTTGGCAGGCAAAATGCCGCAAATTTTGCCGGGAGAAAGAGGGACTAACGTGAGACTCCAAACGCAATGAGACTCCAAACGTGAAGCATATCACAATAAGAGCCAGTAATTAGATGTTGCTTTGTGCCCAACGGCGTGGCTCATGTCTGTTCACAAACAGCTGTCTTGGTCCCTGACTGGCGTGACGGCCATAAATCGTTCCTGCCATTTTCCATTGGCTGCCTGAGCAGTGCTTGCACTTCTGAAGAAGGATGCTACCAATGTGCCAACACCGATAGCCAATGTTCCTACGACAGTATCTACAGTGCTGTGTTTTTGGCCACGGATCCTACACACGCATGCACAGGTGTCGTGTACTGCAAAATACCACATTAAGTTCCCCAACGCATAGTTTCCAAACCACCTCGCCCTTGGATAGCATGTCCAATGAGCGCACCTTGCGAAAGCTTGTGGCATCTTTAGTCGCTGCACCATCTCAGACCTTTTCCGGAACCACTTCCCCTTGCGACCCTTTCCTACATACGTAGATTCTGGATAGCACACAATACAGACCTGTCCATACCGGTCGTATGCACATTCGTTAAACTGCCGGTTGTTGATCCCAAGTACTCTCTCAAAGACACATCAGATTCAAACCGGATAAGCTGCTTCGAACTTCAAGCTATATATAATCAAAAGTAGATGCTGCTCGGATGATTGCCACGAACGCAACTCTTCTGAAACAGATTCTTCCAAGTGCCCAACAACCAGGCCTTGTGGAACTTCTTGTGCACCTTGCAGGTTTTGGCACTATGATTCATTGGTTTGATACACTCCATTGATAGGGCAATAGCTGATGTACCAGGTAGTGCACTTCGATTGTTATGGTAGCCGGTGATCGATAACCCAAAGAAGTGAACACTGAAGATTATTGAGCAGTGTTGAGAAGCATGGCAACCAGCCCCTTTCCAATGTTATCAAAAACATGAGAACGCTCATCGAAGCAAGATCGGCGGGCTTGCGTTTCGCACGTGTTGCAGCCCTGGAAGATTTCACCTTGAAACACCGCTACATCGAGTCACAGAACTTGCACAACTGATGACAGCGTGTCCTGGGAAAGACATGCTGGACATGCACATGAAAAGCATTGAAAAGCGTTCGCAACGTTGAATGCCAAACCAAAGCTGTATGTCAATCATTGTAAACACTGGATTGTCAATCATCGTACGGTAACTTACTTCAAAGTAAAACACCGTGCAGGGTAGTCAGCAGTGGTGGTCAACTTACCAAGTCAAATCTGACCAACACACACATACATAGACATAGTATATGAACTTAACTATCTAGTTGTCCCAGAGTCGAGTTAGCACTGCCCTCAAAACACTTTCCGACAAGATGCACTATGAATTGTTTATGACTGGAGTACTTCGACCATGTCTGGGCTGATAACACTCCACCTCAAAACAGCTGATGTGTTGCGTTGCATGGTAGAACATTGAAGTGTCAACAGCAGACCCCGAGCTTTCAAGAACAGGGTAAGTCACCGGTTCAAGGAAGCGGCAAACACTCCTCATAGAGACAGTGACACAGTTAGCCCACTATATAGACATGACAACGAGGTAGTGCACCCTTTAATCAATCGGCAACATCCTAGTTTGCTGCTCTGTCTTAGAGCAACTCCTGCAAATTTCTGCAGGTTTTTTCCATGTTCATCTGTTTTGCAATATCTACTTGCTATATGCCGTACATTGTTACGCTATATGCCGTACATTTGCCTCGTGTTCCTGCGACACGTTTCAAGGACCTGACTCCGCGAGACGCCCTTCACCTGAGCGATGGCATCCGCCACGTAGGAGACGTGGCCCGGATGGGCAATCCGTCCACGGAAGGGCTCGGGTGCCATGTAAGGCGAATCCGTTTCCAGCAAGATACGATCCAAAGGAACTTGTTGGACCACGTCCCGAACTTCTGGGGCATTGGCGAAGGTTACCACACCAGTGAAGCCCAAACGCAGGGATGAAAAGCGTTGCAACAGGGACTGTGCCAAGGTATTGGAGCTCGTGAAGCAATGCACATGGACAGGGTGCGAGTCAGGTAAATGCTTCTCCAGCAGCTCCAGTGTGTCCTCTTCTGCAAATCTGGTGTGAACGACCAGTGGCTTGTTCAACGAAACAGCCAGATTGATTTGCCGCGCAAAGACTTCACGTTGTAGCCCACGAGTTCTTTCATCTTTGACCTGGGAAACAAACCGCTGAAGGATTGATGTCTAAGACTTCAAGCTTGCACCAGCAATGAAAACAAACAACTCGTATTTTCCCGGTCACTTGCCCACGTGTCATCTTGTCAAAGTAGTCGAGGCCACACTCCCCCCATGCCACGACTTTGTCCATAGACATCATCCGCACCAATTTCTGCTCGACCTTTCAGGCCGGCGGGGAGTAACGCATGTAAACATGCCACAAAAAAAGTTGCCACGCAAGCATGTTCATGTCAGACTCACCAGAATGTGCGAACTCAAAGAATCACTCACTCCTACTGAATCTTGGCAGCCCAGCAAGTTCATGATTAAGGTGCTGGCATGGATATTCAAAAACTTGCATGGTTGTGCCCGTACCTCGCTATCCCATTCATCCGCCCGTAGTGGATGTATGCCAAAGGCTCCATAGATGCCATCCTTGGTGTGATGAAACAGAACTAGTCGTGCCCAAGAAAGTCAATAATGGAAGAAGCCATGGCAAATCAAAAGCATCAAAGTCAAGTCAAAGGGGCAAAGAACCCTTCTGCAACTCTATAGGATTGAATCACTTTTCGATATAATATAACCTCATTGCTGGCAGTTCATTTAAAAAGATTAAAATCACCAAGTGGTTGACCGGTTGATCTTCCAACTCACACCCAGCGTCATATTGCAAGAAGGACGCAGCAACGTCCAAGGCGGCTTTACCACAGCCGATATTCACACAGGCTTCCAGGCCCTTCTCTGGGCCTACCAAAGAAGCGCGCCATTCCTGGTGTGTTCCGGCGAAGGGGTGGAGAACGCAGTGGGCCCATGCAGTCCATGTTTTGGGCCGGAAACGAACAACATAGGAACTCGCTGAGAGTCAAATAGCTCAGTGGTCATTGCAGTGAATTTGCTATATATAGCCATATAGCGGTCTGGGAATCAGACTGGAACTGCGAGTCAGACTGGACATTTATGGGCGCTTCAGGTGAGAATACCATGATCACTTGTTTTCGCTCCTCGTAGCTGGCGTTCAATATCCTTGGAGGCAAATCCCCTCGCGCCTTTGCTTTTCGAGCATCCTCACTGAGGGTCCGAGGAGCTTTCGCCGAAAGAAAATGGCCCTATATTGTATACATTACTGTATACGTATCCTTGTTTGACAATAATAGTTATTTGTTTGCATTATTGTCTTTTACTTTACATATTGCATCATATTGCATCCGTGTTGCGCATGCTTTGCAACCATCAATCAGTACATTGCCAAATTGTTGTCCATCCGCATGCAAACATTTTAACTTGTCTTATTACAAGAGGGGCAACCAAACTGCAAACCAAAACGACTCAAAACAACAGTCCTCATGGCTCTGCCGTGAGAGTCGGGGGATGACCATGTCCAAATGGCAGTGCGTATCCACAAACTTCGTAACTGCCTCACCATCCAACGGTCTTAACTTCTCTTTGTAGCGACCACTCAAGGACCGCTTTGCCGGAGTGCTTGGCGTGGTCACTGAGCTTCTTCTGCGACCAAAGGCGCTGAAGGCTGGTCTTGGCCGAAAGGAAAGGACGTTGAAGGCTGTCAGCGGCACCACCAGCCAGCCGACGCGGTACACACGATGCGTCATGGGTGTAGGCTTGAAAATGGAAGAGGTCACTCAAAAAGAAAGAGTTTCTAAATTCAATTTGGTGCTACTTGCGAACTTCTCTAATCATACAATACACAGCCAAGTCTTGCCTTCTTGTTGAACCACACTTGAAAGAACAACACTTAGACCTGGGATCTAGATAAAGCAACCACATGGTGGGCAAACGTGTTTTCGAGGCCAGGAATTCTGAACTTTGTCTTTAAAACTAGGTTCTTACCGGTATCTTCTGGAGGCTTGGGCCATTGCATCGATCACCAAATACAGTGAATGCATAGCACACCAAACGAATCACCACATAATTCCAGGATCGCCTATCAGTGTTAGTCACGTTATATTAGACATATGTCATTATCCATCTTGGAAGCTCCCCAGCTATCAAGGGGGCATGGGCGGCTTCAAACGACCTGCAAGGCCGAGGGACAGCTGACCTTTCGATTTGGTTGGAGGCCATCACTATTACAAGTAGGGCGGGGAGCGGGCAACAAAAACAAAAACACGATAGAAACATCAACTCAGCGGCTGACCTCCCTTTTGGCCTCCGCGACGCCTGGCTTGAAACCGTCAGCGGTCGACATCGAAGCGACGAGCCGTCGAGCGAAGCGAATCGACGGAATCCGGGAAGCGTTCCGGCTCGATCCGTATTGGTTATCCTTTCCTAATGGTCCTAGCCTTAACGCCTGTTCCCACAGGCTACCACTGCGTATCTGTCCGGAGGTTGGCTAAGAAATGCATGTAAACCTTCATAGTTGTGCCTTGTTGAGCTTGTTCCAGGTCTGCCTGGAGCGTCAGCACCTTGGCGTCTCGGTCGGCCCCCGTTTCGAAGGTAGCAGGCTGTGTTGAGATAAGCCTCTTTAGCTATCACTTGCCATTCTGACTTCACGACATGGGCCATTTCATGAAACTGCTGCATTTTTTGTCAAACAAAACATACCTTCTGGCTCCTACACCAAACTGCTGGGCAACAGAAGGCAAACTGTGGTTCTGGATTTCGATGAATTTCGTGGCTCCTCTCCGCCCACAAGGAACTTGCAAAGCATGTTGCAGCGAGAATCAACGAACACCGATTAATCCCGCAAAGGACTCTATTGCTGATATACAAAGGGGGATTACAAATCGACGTCTGTTTCATTGGGGGGACTACAAATCATCCAGCACCGGCGTGCGATCCAAATCGCAAAAGTCCGCTGATTGCGCCTGATCTTCGGCGTGCGCCTCGAGCGGAGCATGTTTGCCGCATGAAAAAAATCCGGAGCAGATCTGCGCAGTTCGGCTGCGCAGCAGTTAGGCTGCGGCAAGACGCGTTTTTTGTATTGTTTCTTGTTCATTTCGTCCAATGATCTTGTGATGACTTCCATGTGTCTTTTTTGTTTGGAAGTCCATGACTGAAGTCTCACCTCTGAACTTTGCAAAAAAGCACGAAATCCAATCAACCCACTGGATGGATTAGTAGCTGTGTGGCCCCACCTTCTGAGCTTCTAACCTCAACATGCAAAGACTCTTCATACAATGCAAACATATTTGTTGATTCATGACATCTAGATCATCTAGAATCTAGACATTTTTGTTGATGTTGGAAGACTCAGCCAACAGCGGCATCTTCCGTATCACTAAGACGACGCCTTCAAACCGTGAGGTACCGAGGTGGCCACTGTGCGTTCTTGGCCTCCACTGCCAGCAACTCGTCGTTCTTCCTGCGCGAACGGAGATTGTCGTTAGCGTGTTGAGTGAGAATTCCTACAAGTAGGCCCCAAGTAAGACAATGAGCAATAGCATGGTGGTGTGGACCATGATTCACTTCCAGCTTGAATACCTGCGGACACACTTGCTCCTGTGCAGACGTTCTTGCAACTCCAACAAGGCTTCACCTCAATGCAGGGCCTACTGCTCAGTCAGCAACAATGTTTCTGCAACACTCGACCACAAAATCATCCAAACTCTTCAAACAAAGGTGCACAATGGTGTAGAGTGCAGAGTACTCTATCTTCCAAACCATGGTTTGTGAACTCTCAACTCAACATTGTATCTGAGATTAAGCTCCTCTAACTAGACACTGGATTTGGCTGTGTGATGCTGTGGGCATCCCTGCGTGTGGTGTGCCCACCCTGCCGCAGTTTCAATGAACAATCGCAGCTGGGAGCTTCAGGAAGATTTGGTCACAAGAGTACTTCCTGTTGGACTCCAACTGACTGAGTTTCAACATTTGGTGTCATTTTGATTCATTTGGTCATACTTTGTAGCCCACAGCTTGGCATCTGGAATTGACTCGTTTTGGGTGGGAGAAGCCCAAGCCATGCAACCCTGGGAATAGTATCACTCTGGCAGCATTACTATTCTCCACCATTCCAATATGGCAAAGGCAATCCAACTATGAGTAAATAGGGTGTTGCGACGGAGTGGGCCATACTGGAGACTCAGCAAAAACTAAGCCAGTACAGTGAGGTTGTTCACACTGGGAGCAACACCATGAATTCTCATCAGCATGTCAACTAACCACTGTCAGGGGGAATGAAAGGTAAGATGGAAGAAAAAGAGTCGATGGCCAATTGATCACACGGCTCATCCACGTTCACGTGATCTACACAGAACTCCACATCTCGTGATTGACGTGAAAAGCTCTAAACGCTGATGACGTTGGGGATTGTGGGTGCTTCTAGTGACCCTTGCCACCTCAAGTGACCCCTGCCCACTCGGTGTTGGCCTATGACTCTATAACTCAGTAGTGCATGTTGAAGAAGGACACGCAAGGCAAGGTATCCCTTTTTCTTTTGCCGCTTCCCTGTTCTTCCGAGTTGTTAGTGAAAGAATCCGCCGCCTGTGTCTGGGCGTCTTGAAGTTGTGCCTGCAAGGCCTGAAGAAAATGCTTCACAGTTTCACAAATGTTTCCATATTCCAAGAACAAAAGAATGAAAGTCGTTATATATACATATACAAATACATGGTTCACAAATGGTGGAATATGCATGTTTGTTCTGCCCCTTTTCTCCAATGTGCTGAAGCTCTACTCCCTTTGACAGCTTGGACTTCGTTGCCTTCCTGGGGCGCCCTAGACAAGGGCAAATATAAAAGCATAGCCTTAGTCACCTTAGTCTGAGTGACTGAGTCACTAGTGGCGGTCATCGACCTGAAACCTTCACGTCCGTTCGTGTTCAGTTCGCAAGTTCGATGTAAACAGAATAGCTTGGGTATGATAATAGCTTCTTGTTACTACTAGTAAGGCCAGGAGCCCCTAGTAGCTTCTTGCTCCTAGTAGTAAGGCACTTGTTTCTAATAGCTTCTTGTTACTACTAGTAAGGCACTTGTTACTAGAAGCGATGCACTTGTTACTAGTAGCTTCTTGTTACTACTATGGTTCAGTTCATCAAGAGCACATCAATGACTTCACCATGTGGACTTCTGCAGTGGCTGTCCTTTCCACTCGAGAACTCTGCGGGACCCTGCCTCCAGCTGTCGGCCGGTCCCAAAAGGAGATCGGAAGCGGATGAAAGATCGGCTGAATTCCCGACATCTGGGAGCACTTTCTGTTTGCTTCTGGTCATCCCCGTAGGCTGGCTAGAAGAATGGCGAAACAGAAATGCAACAAAAACAAGAAGTGCTGTTCATCCCCGGAGTGGCCCTGCAAGGCACAAGCCTGGATTGTGGCGTGATGACTTCTTGTGCTTGCTCTGCCTCAGGCGACTGGAATAACGCCAAACATGTGACTTTTGCAGTGTGAATAGAAAATCATAGACATATACCGGACCTGCGTAGAGATATATGTACAGTACCTGTCAGTGAATCCAAGACAGCACCTGGAATCCAAACGAGTTCTCAGTGCCTGTCCAAACAGGTAAAGAACATATCCTCTTCATCCACACAAATGGCTCTACCCGCCGACGGTGAGAGAGACACAGTGGAAACACCCTTTCATCGAAGAGCTTCCTCGAAGCGTGGTCTTTCGCGAAAGATGCGACGCAAAGCGCTTGCAAAAAGCTGCAAGCGCCTACTGTGTACAAAGAGATGCAACGCAGCCGCCGCGCAGCTGCTACAAGATGCCCCATCATCTAATATCCTTTACATCAATTCTCAAACACATGTCCTAAGGTTCAGCAAGCATAACCCATAGTCTCATAGACATAACTACTATGATCACTTAGCGCAGAGTTTTCAAAAGACATTGTTGCAAATCAACTCATTCATGTCCGATTCATGTCCGATTTTCTCCCATGTTCTATCTTTCTCACCTTGAGTCAAGTTGCGCGACCCACGCTTTCGGGAGACCTGGAGCTTCTGGCGGGCTGAGTGAAGCTCCTGGTGTCGGTTCCGGTTCGGTCTTTAAACTTGATGATGACAATCAAACCATATCAAACCTCTCTACTGCCAGAGGGCAGAATCTCTAGCTGAGAGTGTTCAATCAACTCTTGTGCCAGGTGCATGTCTGTCTTTCTTTTGAAAGAGCAGCATGCTTGGAGCTACGAAATGACATGCATAGGCATAAATATGGTTCCCTCATTATTCCTCTCTAAACAACTCAAACACACGAATGGGCAAAGGTGGCACTCACAAAATGTCACAAGTGACATGCAAACATTAAACATTCACCGTCCTCGTGCAGGTCAGCTATTTGCTTGTTGCCTCGCCAGAAACCAGTGCTCTCTCAAAGGCCCGTGAAAGGATCTTTGCAAGAAAGCATGTTATGCAGCAAATGGTTTCTACATGTTTCTACTATATATCTTCTATGAACTCCTAATCATCGTTGGCCTGGCCTGGAAGACATAGCTTGACCATGGTGTCCAACTCCACCTGGCTTGACCAGTGGTCCTTCTCCGATTTCACGACTTTCACCAAAAAAGCCTTCCCCCTCAGGAACTTCCTGTCGAAAAGCCACAGGTGGCTCCGGTGCCACCTCCAGCTGCTGGCGCTGCTCCATCCAAGCTCCTCCCACTCTCCGGTCACCCTCCGGGCGCACCCTCGCATCGCGACCGAAGGGTCATCTCGACGGAGCGAGCGACCATGCTGGTTCCTAGTAGCTT